ACTCAAATAGATCACTGATTTGTATGAAAACGAATGTTCTGGTATAATTATCTGGACATGTAAACAACTTGTAAACTTCCACATCCGATTTTCTTGATTCAAAGAAAATTTTCAGTTTCTGTTGGTGTTATTACTCATAATTTATCTCAGATGATTTGGTTACAAAAACAGAGGTGCATCTTGTACAAATTTATTTTCAACTCACCCTCTCCTTTTAGTAATGACTTAATTTCTTCTGAAAGAATGAGACTACTCCCAAATTCTGAAGGTGAACTAAGACAAAAAATTCTTACAAAGGAATGTTCTCAGCATTTCCTGTTCAAAAAATATTAGAAATGTCAGATTTATGGGTGCAGTCACATGCCAAAGCAGTGATACAGAGAAAAAAAAATCTGTCTCCTTACCAATACAAATGACAATAAAAATAACACTCAACTCTAATATAGACCTTTGTATTCCAGAGATCTCAAAGTATCTTAGAAATAAGATAGCTAGTATCTTAGAAACCCAGCAACAAGACACAAAGAAAGGATGTAACTTGCTAGGGTTAACTGCAGAACTAAAAAAGAAGAAACTTCAAAGGAGTAGGATAAGCTCTAGCCCAAAGTAGCACTGGCACCTCAGAATATAGGATCACCTCCAAAACATAGGTTAAACCCCGTAGGAACTTCATCAGTAAAATCTTGGGGTATCCAAATTGGAAATATAGTCATATCAGAAATAGTAGTGTTAACTTTGTCTAGTGAAAGCATGAAAATCAATTGTTGAGGAGGAAATATGTTGGAAATTGCCATTTACCTTTCGAGATACATACAAGAGGAAGGTGAAACTATAATTCTGAAACCAAATAAGATATATTATTTTTTTAAAACTCACCTGGCTTTAATTTATATTTTATTTCCAAGTGGTTTTCATTTTATTTTACAAGAACAACCTAATGTGAGCCAAAACTAGCATAATACATTTACACAACAGGTCCATGAACAGCTTTTCTTAACTTTAGTTAGGAGGGTGGTCTGTTTCCTTCTTGCTTTGCATTTCTTTCATACTCTATATGATCATCTCTGAAATGTCTTACCATAAGAGATGGGTCAATTGAAATAAATTCAGAGGAAACCAGGTAATAAATTCTGAACAAACTAGAAGCAAATGTGACCCACAGGAACAAAATATCAGTGAAGTGTTTGCAGTCTTGAGTAAAATTGATTCATGGAACAGGGTTAGGATGTTCTTTTTCTTCTCACTGCAATGGCAGTGACTATGAAACATTAACTAGACTTTCAGTGAACTATTTTCCACTTCCTTGGAAGGTGCTGGCATAAAATGAAAATCAAAATATTAATACATCTGTGACTTACTACCTACTAAGCCATAATGGCTAATTTATGCAGTAAATTTATCTTGGAGCAAAGCTGTTTTCCTAACAAAGATCACCCTTTAAGTTACAGTGAAGGAAAAGTCCACATCTCCCAGTACAGTCATACTAAAATGCTTTTTACCATGCTTCTACTTTTCTTTTTTTTTTTTTTTCTCCCTGAGGAACTTTTAGAGTACAGAAAAGCAAAACCAAGTCACTAGTACCTTAACTGAAATACAACCTCCTAAGCTGCTGAGATCCTTAAAAGCAAATATCTGTGTTTTGAGTAACTTTCATTTACCTCATTGTACCTAGTCACTGCGTAAAAGTACATCATGATCCTGATTAAACTTGTCTTCTGGGAATTCATCATAAATTCTTCCTGCACTTTCCTTTAATTTCTGTCTCTCTGCTAACATTTAAGGTCAGGTATTGCCATGCTTGACTGAGCAAACAGCTTACTTCAGATAACATCCTCTTTTGCGAACTTACACAATTCACAAAATCCCTTTTCTCAAAAGCCATATTTAAACACAGGCAGCCACCCACAGCCACTTCTGTATTGGTGTTTATTCTTCTCTTTTCTTCACTTTCTTTTAGTTAATTTACTTTCTAAATAGAAACATCCATTCCAGCTCAAGGTCAAGGTGCAAAGGTATATTTTACTTTCTCTCTGCTACTGATAGGTGGAAGCAACTATGACCATTTTGAAGGTGGGTTTTGTTGTTGTTTCCTCCCCCCTTTCCCCCCCCCAACAAAAAAAACTCCAGATAAATTAATCAGTACATAATGCTACAGGCAAGGAAGAACAAAATAAGCAGCGGCAAGTATCCTGATGCTGTAGCAAGTGAGATGGTTTGTCTTTCGCTGGATATTAAAATAACTTAGTATAACAAAAGTGCAGTTAACACTTTTAAATGTAAGTTCAACAAATCTTCAAGACCACAAAGCACATTAATCATATGAACATGGAGGAATTAGCTGAAATTCAAACACAAAAAATAGCAAGCGGCAAGCAAGTTATGGAGAGTAAATCAGTAAAAAGCAGGAAGAATATTGGCACCAGATTCCCTTACCTTCTCTTTGCTCACCTTCAGTGAACTGAAACAGCCTCCACAGAAGTAGAAGATCTGGGGCTGGACAAACACCATCCCAGAAACATGGTTAGAGCCAAAAGGAATGTGTGCTGCCAAGCTAATGTCAGAGCTTGTGTTGACAGCTGTAAGGTTTGCAGGAAGTAATTCCTCCAGAAACATAGGCAAGATTCACTTCTGCAGTGAGCACGCAGCAGTCTTCATCCCATAGAGAGATACTCCCTGACACATCACGGGAGCAATTCTAGACATCAAAAAGGTTATTCCCAGGAATTATTTACACCTCAGTGTGCCTCAAGAGCTGTTTACTAAAGAGATGGCAAAGTTAGCAAGGTAAACACCTTATGCTGAATGGGGAATTTAAGAAAAAAGGATTGTTTAGAAACAAAATGAAACACACAAACAAAAAAAGATAAACTAGAGGTAAGCTAGGAACAGACAAACAAAACACAGAAAAAAAGCCAGATAAGGTTGTAACACTGGACCTGTGTGAGGTTTACTTTAGAAACCATAAAGCAATCCTTATTCATGTTGTTTCTTCACATACACAAAACCAACACTAACTTCTACAGTTTTCAACAGTAACACTGAACAAATACACACTAAAGTGGTACCTGGAGCTTCTGCACCTTGACACAACCATGCAAAGAACAAGGCTGCCAAATGCTTCTCTGTTGCATATGCACAGACTGCCCTTTGGCTCTCAAGGACAACAGACCACAAGAGCAAAGAATAATATAGATTACAACAACATTGGAGTTGTCCTGAATTATGATCATCATTTCTGGGTCCTGCTCACATTGATTTGAATTTCACTGCTTACTAAGTATCGGACATCTTTGTCAACAAAATTATTTCTCCTTTCATGTGTAATTTTTCTTAGTATATATATTCATTATATTGTTTTCCTTTTCAGTTAAGTATTTATTTGCCTTTCAATTAACAGCTAAGGTAGCACTAAGCCTGGGAGTGTGATAGTCGTATGTAGTTGAAACACAAGAGAAGTCTGATAGACGAGTATCAATGAAATGTAAACCTAAATCCATTCTATACAATAACCTCACATCATCAGTACAATTATGCTTCTCTATTACATTTGGTTTTAGTGAAAAAACGCTATAGTAAATATGCTAACGCACACTTAATTGGAACAAAATCAGATATATATTTGCATTAGGAGGGAGTCCAAAGGCTACAGAGAAATGGAGATTGAGAAGTTTCTGTCCAGAGACAGGAAGAGACTGCAGAGTTGGAGGTAGGAACAGCAAACTTTTTTACTTGCAACAGCTGAAATTCAGTTTAGCACGATTATTAGAGAACAAAAAAACATTTAAACCTAGAAGATTTGAGTCTGATGTAGAAAACCATGACACATATATACATTTACATCCTTTAAGATAACAATGTCAACAAATACTTAGTGTGATGCTCAAATGACAGCAAGTCTGTTCTTCTGGTTTCAAAAATGGTTACTTACCAATATGCAGTTTGCAACAAAGGATGTTTATCATAGATACAGGGGGGGAAAAAAAAAGGTAAACGTAGTACTTGGAACAGTCTAGCAAGCAAGTTTGTGAACTCCTTTCTTGCTTCAAGTGAGCAAAGAAATTAACCAAAGCCCAATATCCTTTGATGTCAAAAGATGGGATTTAAAGAACCATATCATATCAGTCTGGAAAGAAGAGATACTAAAGCTTTATAAATTTAATTAGTAGACTGGGCCACTGACATGTAGAGAAAGGTTTCAGCGTGTAAATTATACTCCAGTTTTGGCACAAACTAAAGATTTAGACCGATCTGAAAATTCTTCTGTATGGTTTCCAGTTTCTAGGTGTCTGTAAGAAGCCTACTGTCAAGAATAAATGAATTAGACACTGCTGAAGCAGCTAGCATTCCTATGCCCACAGTGGAACTGCCACTGCTCTTGTCAGACAAATGAGCTGTCAGTATATTATATTCATACTTCTAGTGACTAGAAGAAATTATTTTAAGGGTTTCTTGAATGGAGTTTAGTGGAATGTGTAAGTCTAAAAAGAACAAAGTTATCAATTTGATATCTCAAAATTCATAGCTCAACTCTTTCACTGATAAACTGTTGGCCAGGTGTCCAATTAAATGTATTCCATGTAAATACAAAAAAAAAATTAGAAAAACATTAAACCAAGAAGAACTAACATTTTTTGAAAATGTAGTGCAATATTTTGAGACTCAGTTTCAGTATTTCAATTTGATTAGCTGTGCAAGAGCTTTAATACTTGGGTTAGTGTATTATTAGCAGAAGATAACAAATGGACCAATTTATAGAAAGACGCAGTAACAGACAAATATACTGGCCAGCATGAGGTGCTGAGTTTTTGTTGATGTCCTTCTCCATCATTCTGAAACAGACATTTCTTGCAATACTAATCAGTGCAACCATACCCAGAACCCTGTAACTGAAATATCTTTGCATTTGCAATGTTACTCGGAACACGCTTAGACAACATTGGGAGAATATATTATATTGATGATTGTTTTTAAACAAAGTTTTCCAATGATCACTCATTCACAAGTTTTTAAATAAAAGTTTATTACAGAAATTATTCTGAACAAAAAAGGCAACAGTATGTTTTACTTTTTTTAAAAAGTAACATTGTATTCATGCCCTATAAGGTGAACTTATGAAATGCTATAGGTATTTCTTCTGCTGTCATTCTGTGATGCTATTCAGTACAGATTAGCTCACATCTGCACCACAAGAATTAAGTATGAACACAGTCCCTTTCCATGCTTCACTCCAGAAAGTGCTGCATATTATCAGAAAATATTGCAGACAAACCACAGTTCTATTCATTCTGCAGTATTTGAACCAGTGTCTAGGAAAGAAAAAAGAAAATGTGAGTAATACATACCCTCCTACAGCTGAGTATAAATTACTATTCTGTAATACCTTCCCCAAGCTCAAAAGCATTCCCCAAGCATTTTGGAACATGTGCTGTACCTACCCAATTCCCTCCACTGCTATCAATGCGATCCATGAACTACTTGTGCTGTTTCACTTCAGTTAGCAACATTGAAAAGAGCCAGCACAAAACTTCAAGGTGGTGCACATACATCATTTGCTATTAAGGCATTAAAAATACAAGCAGCTTTGCTCAGACTTGTAGTGATACACAAACACTTTATTGCCGTCAGCCACAAGAACACCTGGCTAAATCACATGATCTACTAAAGAGAAAGTGTTTTGCACAGACTATGGGCTATAGTTTATTATACTATACTATACATTTTGAAACAGATGCAAGAATGAGCATGATCTTCATGAAACAACTGAGAGCAATTCTCTGTTCTGAACTTTTTTCAGAAGCACCCATTAACACCAGTGCAATTTCTGGTATTACTACCATTACTGTTTTCTTGGTCTTAGAGCTTTGGAAAAAATATGTAACTTGGATATGGAGAAAGACAAGTCAGTGTTTACTGTATTCCTTTAGCAAGTCAACTTCTTGTGGTGAAAAAAAGGCTGTAATGTTAATAGCAATTTTAAATCACTCAGTTCTTTAAATCTTGTCTGCAACTTTATCAAGAGTGAAAACGATTAATACTTGGAAAGTAAGGTTTCCTCTACCAGCTACACTAAGCTTACAAAAAATAAACAGAGTAAGATTATATGCTTGGCTAATACCGGAAGCTGAGCAAACAATAAATTTGAACTACAACTTGAAGTGACCACTGTAATCATGCCAGGATCAGGAAGCCAGGAAGAACCCGTTAAAGAGGTCTAGGATATATTTAAATAAAGTTTTTTCCATTCTCAGTTCTTTCTTTTAGCATAACTGACTGAGGATAAAACAAGTGGCACCATTTCACACATCTTTAGAGATATTCTGCTACATTGACGGTTTCAAAAGGTAAAAACCAGCTTGCCACAGAAGTCACTAAATTACTTTTTCCAATGAAGAATTTCAAGGAACATTGGCAAAAGTAATCCAGTCAAGCAGATACAGAACATAAAGTCCTATAAGCAGTATACATACAGCAGGCTTGTTGAGCAATATGTAAACCTTAATAGTATGATTTGCAAATGTTAGCATAAACTTTTCATGTAACTGGGTCCCCTATTATCAAATCCAGCAAACAACTGCTTGGACAGTTTTCTCAATTGCTTGATCAGACTGATGAAGCACTCCTTGAATTCAATAAAATGTGGTACTGTTCTAACAAACAAGTTAATACTAGAAAAATCACCACAAGAAATTCAATTAAGATTACTTCCAACTTTCTAATTGCTCTAGTAGTGCACACTTCCCAACAACATGTGTACAGCAGTCTCTAACACATTCCCATTTCAGTACTTATGAGTTAGGGAAGCATCTAGCTTGCTTTTGTTTCATGTCTCATCATACGTAAAAGGGGAGTGCAAAGCCCTATTTCTGTCTGAATAATAAATTCAATCTAGCTTTAATCAGACATTTGGTCAAGGCTTTCTGTAAATGATCAAGTCTCGTGTCGCAGCTTATTTATATCATATTCCATACTTACTTTTTCCATCACATGCTACAATTTTCACTTTATCAACTTTCACAAGTTCAGTGACCTCCCTAAATTCAACATCATTCAGTACAAATGTCCACACGTTGTCACAGAACCTGTATGTATTCAGAGACCCCTTTAAAAAGACAAGAGACATTTTCTGTAGGATGCATCCCAAAAGTAACAGAAAATATAGCATTCACTGTCTGCTGAACTACATACCTTCCAGAACTAGGTTTGCCATAAAGCCAGCTATGAACCTGAATGCATATTAAGTTGGCAAGCAAGCAATTCTGAGGAGCACTGTAGTTTAAATGCCCTCCAGTGGCTGAAATTTTCAAGACCGTGTAGCGACATTATAGTCTATCCAAGGGGAAGTCTCACACGTACGCTAAGAAGTTTTATGACTTTTCTAATATGTATAAAGAATCAGTATCAGAGAATATTTCTTAAAACATAAGCTGTAAGAAAAATCAGTTACAGCAGTAACCATAACATGATGTGAATTCTGTAATTGTTTAAATAAAAAATCATTACAAAACTAACCTATGTGACATAAAGGTGTATCCCTCATGTTTAATGTATTACTGAGGATATTGATATGTACATCTTTTGGCCTTCATCTTTACATATTTTAAACCGATACTTCTGATCTTAGGCTCAAAGTAATTTTTTTCTTAATTTATCCACTAAACACATTCTGAACAATTTTTTATGCCATATTACATACACAAAGCAAGTTAAGTGTGTCGGAGAAAGGAAGTTATGCTCTTTTTAACATATCTATATGGTTTAAAAATCTAAAGTCTTAAGAGCTCACTTTATTAATGCATTCTGCATAGACTGTAAAGGAAGTATTAGGACAAAAGTTAACAGAACAACTAGTTGGTTTGGTTTTTTTCGTTGGTTTGGTTGGGTTTTTTTTCCCTCAAAGTTACAATCAAGTTGACATTTAACAATTTGCTGGCTATCTGACATTAATTAGGATGGCTGTCTAGGAAAAACCCCCAAACTTTTTTTTCTATGATACCTACAGAAAATGGCTACAAAATAATCCAGTGACTTCCATAAGGGTAGATCTACAACTGTCTAATCTCTCTTCACATTATAGGTGTGGCTGAAAATCTGCCCTCTTCTCACTTCTGCTAGGTACAACTAAGGGAAGCAAAAGTCTCCCTCCTCACCTGCAAGACACCGAGGATGGCAATGCTACCCATCAAAGCATTTCCCTCTTCCCCTTCCCCCATTTTTCACCCACCAAATCTGTTTCTGATTTTTGCATTCCTTCAAAAGATCCCTGGCAGAATAAGAAGATAACAAGCCCTACAACTGCATACAGAATATACGTATAAACAGTCATTATTTCAAGAATCAAAATGGACCTTCATAAGTTTTTGCTTAGAGCACACAGCTTTTAACGACATTCTGCATCAATTAGTTACCCTACCTCACAAAGGGCTTTTATATATTGTTAATCTTACCCTGAAATTGACTCTGTTCCTGACTCGTTGTGCCAGCGCTGAATTTATAGCTTTATCAAACTGAAGTAGCACCTGAAGGGCCAGCTGGGGTGTGATTTGCTGTGACTAAAGTAGTTTTTTTTAAAAAAAAAGAAAGAAAAAAATTAAGTTTTTTCAAAGTAAACTCAAAAATGCAGTAAAAAATAAAAACATCAAAACAAAGTTCACATGAAGCAGATCTCTAAAAGAACAATTTACAGAAGTATTATGTCTCTGTGTTTATTTCCTTTTTCCTACCTTAATTCTGAGAGAAGAAACAATGTGTTAACATGATTTTCTGTATTACACAAAGATTTCTTCTGCTCAGTATTTATCAGAAACAACCAGAAGAGCAGGAAATCGATTACAGTGTTCCAGATTAATCTGGCTGTTTATTTACTGGACCACACAACAGGTTTTTATACCACTTATATAAAACATTTTCCTTCCTCTAGAATGCTAAGAAAAAGACTTCCCGTGTGACTGGAGTACCTTTTGATTTCAATCAATAAGTGTTCCAAACGTTGGCCCTAAGCACTGCGATACAGCAACCACGAAGCTGTTTTGATAACTAACCTCTCTTTTTATAAGCTAATTACGCAGACCCGAAGCCTCACACGCACCTGTATGAGCTCATCCAGGCTCTCCTGTAGACTGTTCCCCAGCGTGGTGTTCCTGTAGAGCTGATACGCCATGGTTCACCGAGATGGGCTGGACACCGTCCCGATCATCCGCGGCTCTTACGTCCTTAATGCACAACGCACAGCAAGAGCAAGCAATTTAAACAAAAGCATCCCGCAAACGCGGACCGACAGTTAAGAGCGCTCAGGAGCGCAAAGCATTAACGACCGGCGGGAAAACGAGGCCGCCGGGGATGGCAGGA